AGAATATTCAATATATATATTTATTAGTTCATGTAACTAATAATTGAGAGAGAATAGAAATTAGAACCTTTCATTTGTTTAATATATGTTTTATTGATAAAAGAGGATAAATACTAAGAGTTGATGTACCATTAAATTTATAATATACACTCAGTACAAGTACCTCGATAAAGACGATATGTAGTATGTATGTATGAAAGAAATAACAGTAATATTATGACATTCATAAAATGTATGAATGATTATAAATATTTGCGTTGGTAATTAATGCAAAGATAAAAAAGGAAAATAATCTAAATTGTAATAAAAAATATCTCTCTAATATTAGAAAAGTATCAAATAATCTATGAATAAACTGAAAAGTTTTTGTAAACAATACAAGTTTTTAAAATTAGTTAGTATCACCTAACATTTCATAGGAGTACCGTCTGGATATGTTGGCACTTTTGGTTTGCAAATTTTTGTTCTACCGTTAGAACCATACACAATGTTGCAAGAGAAAGTAAAATATCCACAAGTTGAACTTTTAGTATAATAACGATGTTCATATTTTCTTGGCGAATTTCTACCTTCCATTTTACCAGCAACACTATTGGTTACTGTATAATAACTTGGTTTCATTAATATATTGGAAGTAGGTGTTGAATGTTCTGTGGAAAATTGTTGGCTTTGAATTTGAGGGAAATAATTTTTTTGTCTTTCTTTGGATGAAACATGACCTTCCATTAGTCTCTCATGATTTGTTTTAAGAGATCTTATTTCTGAGATGGGCGATTTGCTTTCATGAGTCATGTTTGGTTCTTTTGGTACTAAAGAAACTGTCTGAGATTGAGATTTTCCGTCGCCATGGGCACTAGTTTCACTACCTGCTACAGATGTTACTCTGCCACGAAAACCAGGTGGTATAGTATATCCTGATAATGATTGTCCAGGGTGGAGCATGTCACCAACTTGTGCTGGATTTGTGTTCTGTTTTACATGAAGGTCATATTGATTTCCAGTTGTAACATGTATTGTTTGTGATTGATGATTACTACTATCTTGTTCATCAGCATAGATTTTTGAAACTTTCGTATTCATTGAAGTTTGCATCGGTGAGGCGTCATAATCTTCACCATCATATTCTTCCTCATAATCGTACAATGTGTCGTCCGTTTGTGATTTTTCAACAGGTGGATTCAGCTTATTAGCTGTATTTGACGAATTTTCATCTGTTGGTTTAGTAGTAACTGTTTTCCGAGAACTAGAACTCGTCTGTAAACCTTGTTGAAGTTTGTCTTGATTATATTCATAATCGGTATCTGAGGATGTATTTGCTGTTTCATTATTCTTTTTCTGTGCAATTTGTGGAATATAAGATGGTTTAAACGGTTTAAATAATTCAGTATCTGTAATATTAAAGTTAAACGGTTTTCTAGAAGTTGATGCACCAGATCCTGATCCTGCTTGTGCAGCACCGGTATAAGTAATTCCATATTGGAAGGATCCTTCGAGCTGAGATTGAGATTGTCCTGTGTATGCTCCGCTCTGAGCGGAGGCCGTTCCACCTCCGCGGAAAGGTTTCGAATATTTTTCAATTTTTTCATCTGTCTTAAGATACGGTTGAAAACCAATTTGTGCCTGACTTGAAGTACTTCCTTCACCGTTTGCTTGAGCATCTGCCATTCCACCTTTCGAGCTTGCTTGTACCTGAGAATTTGTACCATGATTCAAACCGCTGCTTTGCGCACCCGTTGTTGTAGCACCTGACTCTGAATTTAACTGGACTTGTGCCTGGCTTTTTCCATAACCACCCATTCCTTGAGCATTACTTGCAGCACCTTCTTTACCACCACTAATTTCCGTTTGAGCACTTTTATTATTGTCAGTACTACCAGCTTGAGCTGAGAATGATCCAGAACCACTATAAGTACCTGTCACTTGGGATTGAGATGTACCTTGCCCAAATTTTCCTTGAGCTGACGCGCTCGCTTGAGTACCTGAATCCATTTGCTTTACAGAACTGGATGCTTGAGAATTCGAATTATCACCTTCTCCAAGTAGAAAACTACCAGGTTCTTGATATTGAGCAGGTTCTCCAGTATTTGTTTGTCTTACATTGGGTAGGTATTGTAAATTTGGATATTGTTGTCTGGTACCTTGTCCATCAGTTGGGTATTGCTCCAATCCTTGTCTATTAACTCCTCCTGACAGAGGATCTGTAGGTAGACCTGAAGTTGGAATTCCTCTATCATGCCATGGTGCAATACCAGGATATTGTCCTTGTTGTAGTGGATAGCCAGGAGGACTTACTCCACGATTGTTGGGATATTTTCCTGTGTCAGGGAATGGAACCATGCTTCCATCAGGATATTGTATTACTCTGGTACCATCGGGATAAGATAATATTGATCCAGCACCAGAAGTTACATCTGTTTTAATAGTACCAGGAGCAATATTTTGTCTAGTAATTTCTGGAAAAGCACTTCCAGGATATCGTGTATGATCTCCTGTCGTAAAATGTCCCCCCATGCTTGGTATGGTACCACCAGGATAAGTAACACCACTACTAGGTACAGTGTCAGGAATTCCTGGTATAGTACCCCTATTAGCTACAGCGCCTGGTACTACTTCGCCCGGATAATGAGCAGTTTCCCTCAATTGACCACCTGGTGAAGTACCGCCAGGATAAACACCTCTAGTATCTGTAGTAGCATCTCCACCTGCAAAGGTATCAGATAAAGTTCCTGATGGACTAATATTATGATATATATCACCCCTTAAATTACTACCTCTGTTTGTAGAATAAATATCTCCACCGTAGTATTGTGTTCTAGGAATCTGACCATTAGGATATATTGTACTATCTGCAGTTGCTTTTGTAGTTTGCGTTAGTCTTTCAGGTGTTAATGAACCTCGTGGATAAGCTGCGCTACCATCAGTCGTACCACCAGGTACACCACCTGGATAAGTTCCTCCAGTTGTGGGACCAGCAACTCCATCGGGGTAAACTGTACCACCACCAGTTGTAGGGCCAACAACTGCACCAGGATAAACTGTACCACCACCAGTTATAGGACCAACAACTGCACCAGGGTAAACTGTACCACCACCAGTTATAGGACCAACAACTGCACCAGGGTAAACTGTACCACCACCAGTTATAGGACCAACAACTGCACCAGGGTAAACTGTACCACCACCAGGTATAGGACCAACAACTGCACCAGGGTAAACTGCACTACTCCCAGTTGTGACACCAGTTGCACCTCCAGGATAAGGAACAATTGTTCCAGTTCGAGGACCAACTACACCTCCAGGGTAAGGAACAATTCCTCCACTTCCAGGGTAAGGAATAGTCCCTGTGGCTGGTGGACCAACTACTCCTCCAGGATAAACTGCACCACCAGTTGTACCACCAGGGTAAGTTCCTCCAGTTGTAGGACCAGCAACTCCACCAGGGTAAACTGTACCACCACCAGTTGTAGGACCAGTAACTCCTCCAGGGTAAACTGTACCACCACTAGTTGTAGGACCAGAAACTCCACCAGGGTAAACTGTACCACCACCAGTTGCAGTACCAGTTACTCCTCCAGGATAAATGGTACCACCAGGTACACCTCCAGGATAAATGGTACCACCAGGTACACCTCCAGGATAAGGAACAGTTCCTCCAGTTTGACGACCAGCTACATCTCCAGGATAAATTGTACCATCACCCCCAGTTGTAGTACCAGTTGCACCTCCAGGATAAGGAACAGTTCCTCCTGCTGGAGGGACAACTCCTCCTCCAGGATAAACTACACCTCCAGTTGTACCACCAGGTACACCAGCAGGGTAAGGAACAGTTCTTTCAGCTGGGGGACCAACTCCTCCTCCAGGATAAACTACACCGCCAGTTGTACCACTAGGTACACCAGCAGGGTAAGGAAGAGTTTCTCCAGCTGGGGGACCAACTCCTCCTCCAGGATAAACTACACCTCCAGTTGCACCACCAGGTACACCAGCAGGGTAAGGAACAGTTCCTCCAGCTGGGGGAGCAAATCCTCCTCCAGGATAAACTACACCTCCAGTTGCACCGCCAGGTACACCAGCAGAGTACGGAACAGTTCCTCCAGCTGGGGGACCAACTCCTCTTCCAGGATAAACTACACCTCCAGTTGTACCACCAGGTACACCAGCAGGGTAAGGAACAGTTTCTCCAGCTGGAGGGCCAACTCCTCCTCCAGGATAAACTACACCTCCAGTTGTACCACCAGGTATACCACCAGGATAAGGAACAGTTCCTCCAGCTGGAGGGCCAACTCCTCCTCCAGGATACACTGTACCACCACCAGTTGTTGTACCACCTACATTTCCAGGGTAAGTAGTGCGACTTCCTGTAGTTGGAGTTCCAGGATAACGTATCTCACCTCCTGTCATTACAATACCAGGATAAACTACTCTACCGTTAGTTATAGTAGTGTCAGGTACACTACTAGGATAAATTATACCACCTCCAATTGTTGTAGTACCGGGAATATTACTAGGATAAGCCATATGACCTCCAGTTGTACTACCAGGTATTCTACCAGGATAGAGCACTTCACCTGTAGGTTTAGTTATACCTGGAATAATATTACACCTGGATATTGCTTGACTTGTTTTTTACTACTATATTATTTGGCGTAATACAAAATTAATTTGGGAGCAACTTCGAACAAAAATTTTTTCTATTTATCATTATAGAGTACCTGGTGTAATTTTACCGGGATAAGTTGTACCCATTCCAGGAGTAATCATACCAGGATGAACATTAGTTCCACCAGTTAATGTTCCTGGAAGAATCCTAAGATAGGTTTCATTTTCTTATATTTCGTTGTATATGTATTTAGTGATACCTGTGGTCCCGCTTGTTGTTTTTGGCAGTGAAATTCTACCAGGACTTGCGCCTGGATGTTGGATATATCTATCTGGAGTTCCTTCACTAGTGTATTTTGAGCAATCTTCGCATCCAATGCCTAATGACGTACTCTGTGCTTGACCCATACCATGACTTCCACCTGAGGATGCGTTCAAGTTTCTTATTTCATATGTAAGTCACATTATAACAGAATGGAAACATTTTTAGGTACTCACTAACAGCTGCACGAGAAGAGTGTGGGAAAGCTTCTGCTTCGGCTTTTCCTTCCGTTTGATCTTTATCATTAATGTTTAAATATTGAGATTGTGTTTGCCCTTGAAATTTTCCCGGCAGTTGTACCTGTCGACGGAAACGATTTTGCCGAAAATTTTCATTAAGCCTTTGTCTTTCTTCAAGTACGAGTTGCCTTTTAGCTCGACTTATCAGAGGCGTTAAAACTACGTCAGCCACTCTTCTTGCTACGATATCATTTTCATCTAGAGGAAGTGTATTAAAAAAAGGATCTAGCTCTAGTCCGGGAATCAGCATAGTGTTTTGCAGTAAAACAATTTTGCGTCCATTACAAAAATCAACTATTCTACCCCCTGCAATTTGCCATGCCTACAAAATATATACCTAAATTATTGCTTATTTTGCACCATTAACTGCGCAATCAGCTGAAAATATATTATGTTACCTCGAATTTTGTTAAGGCTTCAGTAGGTGCATAAAGTACTTTTGGCATGTATTTCCGTTCTTGGTTGCTATATTCTGAAAGCTCTTCTGTAACGGCATTTTCTTCTAGTTTCTCTATATAACAATTGTTTTCTTCTCTGTCTTTGTATGCTCTAAAGCGCTGTAAAAGTGTGAAAATGCAAAATATTGTTGCTACGATTTTCAAGATTAATGTATTACCGTTGCATCGTCAGTAAATGTCCATTGTTTTTTTATTAAACGATGGTGCACATTCGACGTTTCAAAATCATCGTAAACAGAGCGATCGAAACGCCTCTCTTCCTGTAAGTAAATTATCGTAATTAAAGAATATACAGAAGGATATACAAAAATATATAAAATTGTAATAACAGAAATAACTGTACGATTTTCAAACATATTCAAATGTTAATTTTTCTAACGTCTGTTATTAAACCATTTCCTTTAAAAATACACGAATCGGTGAAGTTCCATAGAAAAAAGCATATAATAAAGGAAAAACAACAAAACGGAGAAATTAGGAATGGGTCACGCTATTTCCTACCAACTTATCTTACGAACTTTGATCTCCAAATCTGTCTCTCAAGCAGCTGTAGTCAATACTTAATTTGTCTTAATGAATTGCGTTAGTTTTATGGGAATTCGAAAAAAGTACCAAAAGAAATTCACAATTTATAAGTCAGTTATTTGAATAAACATTTTTATTACCATTTCGGTGAACTTTAATTAATGATACAGTACAGACTTATTGATAATTATGAAATAAACAAACATCTTTAAGTAAACTTGTACGATTGTCCCTCGTATAAAAAAAAAAGAAGAAATTTTAAAATAAATTTCTTAAAAAATAAGTTATCAATCGGTGAATTGCAAAGAATGGATGACAACTTACACGGTGTTTCGAGAGTACTGTTCCCGTGAAGAAAATCAGGACAACAAGGATTAGCCGCATGGCTTCTGTCTACTTCGGGAACTTCTTTGCGACTGTTAGCTTCTATTTGACGGTAATCCTAGTAGGTTGATCTGTCGACTCCCACCAAACACTTCTTTCCTTTTCTTCTTCCTCTTCTTTGGCTTACTTGTGCTCGATCTTGCGAAGTGATCAAGAACCACGAGGATTTGGATTAAAGCGAAGAAGGGGGAACGGTTGATAGGGGAAATTCTAAGAAGCGGCAGCATGTAAATTGTGATGTAAGTGCGTCTGTACTCTTGTAAGTGTTACGTTATTTTATGTCGTTTCATGATATCCGGATATTCGTTGCCGGAAAGCTTTCACGAGCGTTTCCGATATTTACATTCTTATAACGGCTGGCATTTACGACGCTGTAAAGATTGGTAAACGTTCGAAGAATAGAAAAGAATGAAAAAGGAATAGCAGAAGTATGAAAGAAATAAAAATAGATTTTCACATTTGTTTTTATGTCATTCGTATTCTCCGAAGGATCGTTTACTTCAAATACTTTATCGTCGCAGAAAATGATCTATATTGGTTATAAGTGAACGTTTAGTAAAAAAAAAAAAAAAAAATTGTTCATTTTCGATATTTGGTTTGCTTCGTTCGGTGTTAATCTAAAATGTCGATCGCTTCTTTATTTTGGTCAGTACTGTATTTCGATGATATTTGTAGATGCACTCTCGGTAAGAGAGTAATCAGTTTCTCCATAGTATGTCGCTGTTTTACTTTCAAAGACGCAAATATCTTTCTAATCGTGCACGATATCGCCTAAAGTCAGCTTATGTGACCATCATCGACTGACTAAGATAGATGTGTTCCCCTTCAGTGCCCTAATTATAAACTCCAATCCATTTGGTAAATACAGCAAGTCGTTGTTTGTTCTGCTTTGAGCATTATTAACTATCACACAGTTCATCAGCAGTGTAAAAAGATCGATGAGTAAAAGGAAAGTGGATTTGAACGAAGTGCTTTATGTTAAATTCCTAAGTAGCAACTGTAAATCGTTGGTTGCGTTACCAATGATTGCCCAATTTCTAAGCTACGTTGAATGAAACTTTTGATTATCAAATTTTCATTTATTCAGTTCGAGACAATTTTGACAACCCTTCGTTTCTTACCCTTTTTATTGTGGAGTATAAAATAGAGTATGCTTCGAAATAAATTAGTGTACAATAGATTAGTAAAATTTTAAATAACTAAAAGTAGAAACAGTTGTAGAAATATTATGTACATTGAAAGGTATGTATAGCGATATGTATATATATATATTTTTTTTTTCATTTTAATAGACAAGACTTGTACAATTCGTAGAAAAATTGGTAAAATGTTTGCTTAGGCACTCCAATGTACAAATGGTACATTACATACGTAAAACAACAATACATTACAACTGCACTAACTATTAGGACTATCATCGTGATATTGTAAATACTAATATACAATGTAGGGAATGCTATTTACAACGTGTAGTTCACACGACTATACAATACAATATTACAATTTGGGATCCCTAATGTTCGATCTTTTGCGATAGATCGATGACTAGGATTCGCTCACTTGTTTACACTTTTGACTCCGGGTTAATACAAACACATGTCCTAATTTACAATTTTATTGTGAAAGAAAAAAAAAATAACGAATAAACTACGTGAAATCTTTATTACAAAACCGCTGCCATTCGATTTTTTGTGCAACCGTCGTTTTTTTAAATTTCTATTCCATGTTGAAAAGGTTATCGGTTCATATTAAATCATCTATAATAGAGAATATCTTGAAGAGCAATTGAAAGAGAAGTTAATGGGAAGTATGTGTGAAGTATTTGATATAGAACAAAAATTCGATTGGTTGCGCATAGAATAGCAGAGCGGATTGGACTAGTTTACACTCGAATCGTCACCAACGGTCGGTAACGTATCTAAAACTAAGAAAAATTCTTAATTATTATATAAAGCGACCACCAGAGGGCCACTAGACTGCATATGGCAGTTGATTCCGGTTACAAAGTTCGAATCACAGACGATACGCGTTTTCATATTTAAAAAAAACGCGTTTAATGTATTACAATATAAAACTACTTTCTTAGATATATAGTTTGCAGCAGATATAACGACACCCGAAATTACATTTATCCACATAATCGTTTTAATAAAAAATCTTAATCGCTATTCAGTACCCTTTTCGAACAATTTACTTTACGCATTTTCAAATGGTCTGTAACTTCCGCCAAATTTAAATTTGACTACCGTAGTAAAAGTGTGTAGTTTAGTACAAACATTTTAGTCACGGAAACGTGTGACATAAATTTTAAACGAAGTGCTGTAAAAAGTTACAAGTTCTCAGAAAATGTAATTTCTTTACGTAGATTATTGGAAGTAAAAATAGTTTTCACGCTATCTCTCTTGTGAATGTCTATAATTCGATTGATATTCGTTGGCAATCTACGCTTCAATATATACGTTAGTTTTAAGCTTCAAGGAATTTGTAGCTGCCTGGAAGAGCTTGGAAAACTTGAACTTCATCGATGCAATTAATACTAAGGTAAATATGCATATATAGGCACTGCGATTCACTTTAAATCAATAAATTACTTTTGTTTCTTAGTACAACGCATGATATGTCTTTAAAAAAACTGTGACTACATACGAATAGTATTTAAGGCACGATACTAGGAATTGGTAATTCACAATTTTATCGTTAATATGACTATGTGCTAGATGGTCCCTAATTAGGAAGGTGCATGGAATAATATTTGTTACGTAATCTCTGTTGATAGTGTTCCTTTGTCGTGTTATTGAACCTGTCTTGAAATTGATTTTATGCTCAGCTATTAAAAGAAAAAAAAAAAAAGAAAAAAAAAGAAAAGAGTTGGGTGCTCATCGCATTGAAAGATGCCACTAAGTAAGATATAACAGAATTTCAAATATTCCCCTTTAAAACTTAACGAACTTATCTCAATATCAATAGGAATGAATTAGTTGCTAGTAAAAAGTAATTACGTCTTTGTATCTCTACGAAGCGATAATTTAATCATTCATTTTTTCGGATTTGGATCTTCTCTCATGCTTTTTGCGATACACATTTGATTTCAGCAGGCTTAACGGTTCCATAACTATAAAATATTCTTTGGCGTACTACGGAACTGTTTTACCTGCACTCGATAATATTTCAATCGTTACCCGATAGATGTACATACTTGCCGTGATTTTCGTTCTATCGTTTCGGACGAATAATACATCTTTCCCTCAGAAGGTTCAAACATGTCTTCGATAATTCTATGCGATCGCTAAATTAAGTGTCATTGTTGTTGGCCTGGAAAATGCGGAGGACCTCGTCGGATCGGAAAAGTCAAAACTGCCGGAAGAGTTTTGGCTGTCGTTGTTGAACCGACTTAGGTGTTCTGGGTTAGGGGATATGACGGAAGTTCTAATGACCATTCTAGACACGCACTCTGGATCCTTTGTCAGGTTATCAGGAGTCTTCCTTTCGCGTTCTTCGACCGGAGTTTTCTCTCTGCAAGAACGTTTCGATGGCGGTGGCGGTGGCGGTGTCGCGGACGCGTCAGGAATTCTGGTGTGTCTGATAATCGCGGAGAACGCCGAGGACGAATTTCTTTGGTCGCGATTCAGGCCTAATCGAGGAACAATGACGCTGGTAGGGGATGCTGTAACGCACGGCGTCGTTTGCAGTCTGTTCAACGACGACGATAACGGTGTGCACGATTTCGTGGAAGACGAAGTTGTTTTCTGATCGTTTCCATCTGTTTTCTCCGTGGATGATCGATGATGAGCCCTCATGCACGATGATTCCTCGTGTTTGTACAGATACGATTTCAGAGCGAACGCTTTACCGCAACGACCGCATACATGTGGTTTGGTGTTCGAGTGCGTTTGAATATGAGCGCGTAAATTTGACTTGTCGGCAAATGCTTTGTTGCAGATCGTGCACTTAAACGGTTTCTCACCTACATACAAAAGAGAAGAAACAACATTGAATTAGATTACAAAAAAGTAATTACATTTGGTGTAATTTTGTTGGTAAATATTCAACTAAAAGTTGCTATAAACAATTCAACTGTTCAATGGAGAATATTCGGTATACTATTCTCACCTGTATGGGTACGTATGTGTCCCTGCAGTAGCCACGGTCTCGAGAAACACTTGCCACAGTAATGGCACTTGCACCCCTGATTATGCGTTCTAACGTGCATACTGAACGCAGGCATACTGACGTAGACTTTGTCGCAGTGTGGACATCTCCTAGCTTTCTTATCCCCGAGGGATCTGTGTGTTTGCCTGTGTCTGGCCAAATTCGAGGATGTCGAGTACTTCTTCCCGCAATCGGGACATTCGTGATCTTCGTTGTCTTCGGATTTCGACGTTTCCGTGGAAGTCGAGGTCGTTCTTCGATTTTGCGAAATCGCCGATGGTATCGACGGTGTTGGTACCAATTCGACTTTGTCCAAAGAATTCTCCGAGGTCTCGAGACCTCGGCGTTCCTCTTGCAAATGATGCGAATGGGAGGAAATGTGGATACCCAAGACCGTATTTCTTTCCGATCGATTCTGTAGAATCTCACGCTCGCTCTCAATCCTCTCGAAGAAGAGTCTCGTTCTTTCACCAAGTGTCTGCTCGTCCTCGAGGGTCTCCGGGTGATCTTGAAATTGCGATTCTTGCTGTTTTGTTCGCGGTGTCATCATTCTGCCGCATTTGTCCGAAAATTGAGCGTACCTAGGCGAGGCTGGTTGCTGATAAATCACGTTGTTCGGATGAATCAGCGTGCCAGCAGCCGCTGCTAGGCTCACTTCTGCCAGCTTTGTCAAGTTGTACAGTTCTTCGGGACACTCTGACGATGTCTCGCTGCCGCACTCGCTCGCACCATCGGACGTAGGATGGTTCCCGCTGTAATCGGCCAGTCTCACGCCTCTCTCCGGGCTGAAATCTACAGGAGACGTAGGATAATTAGCCTTACCATTGACAATCTTCGATTGTTTTATTTGTACATTCTTGCGATCGCCAACTCTATGTTTAAATGGTAATTTGTAACGCTTAACACTACGGAATATTGGCGTCAGAGAGTATAACTGTGTTCTATAATAAAATTTTCAGGGAACATGAAAATGCGGCACGTGGAATCGTTTATCATCGTTAGCGTAGGTTTCTACGGTTTGAATGCGTTTTGGCGAACGTCCAAACGAAATCTCGTGATCGAACTGAAAGAACTCCCCTATTGATACTTCGATCCCGTTGTACGCCCGACACTGTTTTATTATTAGTCATATTTCTACGTCGTTATTGTGTAACGGAAAGAAAAGTATTGTTACCCGTAGAGACTCGTTTCTTAAAACTGTTTTCCCAGAAACGTTATCCTTGGAAGTGTATTCTTTACTTCGACAAAACAGGTGGCTCTGTTCTATAAATATTATCGGAGTATAAACTTACAGAAAAATTCCATTTAGAAGAGCAGAATACTTGTTATTTTTTTCTTTTGCCGATTTTCTTTCATCGTGAATTTAACCGGTACTTCGATGTACGTGTGCGCGTTTAAATCGTAAAACGCACCGGACAAAATTATTCATATTTATGACTTTGAACAGTGTATCGAAGCGCGCGGTTCGTGAAGCGCGAAGCACCTTCGCGAGTATATCGCCTGCTCCGTTTTTGGGGAGAACAGAAATAGAGTAGCTATCTCTTGCTCTCTCTCTCTCTCGCCTCTGTCTTCTTATCTTTCTTTCTCTGTCTAACCCCTGTACTTTCTGCGTACTTCTGTGTACACGTACATGTGCGTTCGTACGAAAGCTTTGGAGGGGTTGACGGCACAGCGGCGGTACGCGTCGTGTGAACCTCATGACGCATCTAGCGTCTCCTATTCTTAAACCTGCACGATGTACCACCTTAATCACGAAGCAACGACCACCAAATTCTCTTGGCTTGCGGTCAGAAGCTTTGATTGACGAGATCGACGTAAGCGGCGCGGAAATTTTGCCTGCGCTGATTTTCGGCCGGTCGTATTTACGTTTCCGGCCCCGCTAACATTGCCATTAATGGAATCTTCACAGCTCACCTTTGAACTTTCCACGTCTCTGTCGAACATCCACGAGCGAAACTTTTTACGCTAAGATGTTTATAAAATGTAACGGTATCGAAACGCGGTTACACGAGGAACAACGATGTTCGCCGTTCTTTTCGCGAACTCTGTTCCCACACGACGGAACCGGCGAGATTATTTTTAAAGCGAAGTTACAGCGTAGAAGGTTGAAAAAAAACAAGAAGTATTTCCTGGCACGAGACAACTGGGGTAGGCGTGGAGGAGTATATTCAAAGTGATTATTGCGAAATCGAACGTACCTCTTCCGGACCCATCGAACTCCTCTTCGACTCCATTGTATCGACGGTGGGTGATCAGGAACGCTCTTGGCATTTTCTTCCCTGTCGCGTAACTTCTTCTGCGTCTTCTCTTTATTATTCTCCCCTTCGAATCACATAAACCATACCTTCAATCTCTTCGATTCAACTCCACTGTCACACACGATCACTTAGCGGGTAATTAATTGAATATTTCAACGATACGTCGCGATTGAACGTCGGAACCCACGATTGTAAACGATGTCGCACAGCTTTAAAAGGCTCTCGCCTATTCTAAACCTGTTGCTGATCATAGGGGTGCGTCCTCCTCGAGGGTTTCGAGCGAAATAGCTGCTCCGGCTAAGATTCGGGGCTACATATAGTAGCGCAGTCTTTCTCGCTTCCTCTTCAGATGCTGCGCGCCACGTATATTTTAGAGTGGGAAAGGCTGCGGAACACCAATCGGAACATTAAGTAGTTTTTACACGCTTGTAAAAAGTATTTCACTTGGTTCTCTATGCAACAAATTTTTTTCACATTTCTTCTCGTCGCCTTTCGTTTTACACCTGTGTTCTCTTCGACAATTTTTCTTCTCGAGGTTCGATGTTGTTAAAAAGAGAAACGTGTGTGTTGTCGCGTTGCATTTTTAGATATAAACTACGACCATAAAGCGGATTTATATGCTTTTTTTTTTTAAATATACCGCAAATGTGCGTATTAGTCAGACGTGGTTTTCTATCTGGTTCATCTTGCTTCTGGAAAATTGTTTGCAGATTGGGAAACACATATTTATTTAGTGGAAATCTGATAAATGTGATTTTAATATTTCGTCAAATTGAACAGGTAATAGGATCTTCTTTGATCGTGAATTTTTTCATAAATTCGGAAGTATAGGACACGTTGAGTTTCGTTCAGCTGAATTGTTCCGTGTTTGTAGGATAGCGTAACGAAGATTTATTTTTCCTTTGACGAGGGTCGAAACCAGGAAGATAGACCTACGCATTAGTTTATCTATTGAAATGTCGGAGCGACATTGGTCGTTCAGTTTAACCCAATAGTAAAACGACACAACTGTCCAAGCAGGTTCGAAGGTTCAATAAGGATGTCAGAGGATTATGCTCGTATCGTTATACCTACCGTGCGTAAAGAAATATGATAGATTGAGAAACTGCTACCGAATAGATGTGAACAGGTGTAAATGTATATATTTAGAGTGTAATAAATTCGATATGAACGTGTGTATACTAAATGGCGCTGTCGTGGCAATGATTTAAGTTCAATTTCACTTAGTGAAATGAATGGAAACCTCGTTCGCTTCATTTATAGACTTTCTTTTCACGTCGAACGATTTTTAAGTTGAAAAATAAAAATGTACGATTATTAGAATTTGGTATTAAGGTCTCGTAGGGAGGAGATTTGTAGAATGGAGTAAAAAAGAAACGAAAGAAAGCAGATTACTGAACGCTTATTTACCAGTGGGAAAAAAATATGTGCACTCTATTTTTATACAAAACCATCGTTGGTAGACAGATTTTAGTCTGGTCGTCCGCATATTGCCACTACACAGAGAATGCACTAAAGAGGGTCCCATGTCGTTTAGCACGCCATGTCTTTTGACCGTGACGACCGCGACATGGTAAAAGCGGAAAGTGTACTATTGAAATCGGCATTAACCCCTTCGCTGTGACAATTCTAAGAAAAAAATTTATTTTTTCCCAATTACTCCATTCGTGCGTCATTTCACCGACTTCGCAAGCTACGGCACGATTTCTCGAAAAAGTTCCTCGTCTTTTCTCGTTTTTAAATAAACGTGCAATTATCGCGAGAAACAGGTATCACGCGTCAACAATTTTCAGCGACGTTTCATTAATAGTAACTCGTTATTAATAAAGTGACACGCGTACGTTTCTGTCACATCGATCGATTAATACATCTTTTTTTTTTTAATAACACTACAGACAACGATTTGTCCCAAGGAGATTTATTAATTACTCTTCATTCAGCTCCTACTTCGGCGACATTGTGCGTTGGAAGAGTGCACCGCACATTACGGTTATTTTACACGAACCTCGGTATTAGTCATCAAGCGACGAAACAGAAAAGAATACGCGACGACCAAAAGTACCAGGACGCGGCCTACATTGCCGCAGACTATAAGTTCGTCGAACATTGTTTCAGCGAACGCGTTAAACAACGAGCCACGAATAAAAGAACTGTTGTTCGTAGATTTCGACGCGTGCAACAGTGATCGAAATTGACAGTGATTTGCGAAGTGTGAAGAAAAATGAGGGGGTGGGGGGTGGAAAAGTGAAAAGGAAGATTTTCTAGGTAAACGCATCGCGAACAAGGCGTCGTTCGAGCAAACAGAGACTATGCAGCAAGGGATCATGCAAGTAGCGGGCTTTTTGGTCGGCGATTGAATGAATGCCACGCGAGTTAGTCAGCGTCGCGGTGCTAAATTCGGCGGACGCCTGGCGTCGCTCCAGAAGAACCACCCAGCGCACCAACCTGCTTCTATCCTGTAGCCACCAATGAAACTGCGAGAGCGACGCCGTTTTCGTATTTGCTTGCCACCTTCTTTCGTCCCGTGTCGATCTTCCTTGACGCCTCCTTCCTCTTGTCCGTCCCCGATAATACGATGCTCAATAAGAGCCTGTGTTTATCGACGCTTGTAAATCTATAATACACTGAAAACACCGACGAAAAAAGCAAAAAGAAGTGTCAAATATTCTAATACAACTTATCGATTCAAAGTAGGTGTATTACGTATGTAGTTATGTATATACTTAGTTATCGTGAAACGTTTACGTGTAGATACACCTTGTAGCTCGTGTCGTTGGTTCGATTTTTCTCAATTGTCGAGGTATACCTGGAAATTCATTGAGATATCTCGATTGTTTTCGAAAATGATTCGAAGAACAGGTGTCTCGGGTAGCCTATTGCAATCGCGGTGCTATCGACGTCGGGTCTAAAAATAAAGTCACGAGTGTTGAGCATCCGAACTGACGCAACATCGGTACTCGCCAAGCTTTTCTCGGCGATGGATTGTCACTATACGAGCACCTCTGCGTGTCATCAGATACGCGAAACGGTGTAACTTACCTCGTGGTTTCTACGTTAATAAAGCAACGGCCGGGGCGGATCCATCCTACAGGTGCCCGAACGCGCGTTTCCGATGGAACGTGTTCGCGTAAAACGCGTATTTTCGGCGCACTTGGAGAAGATCCAGGTGCGGAGGTGGAAGTACGTGTAAACTGTGACGAGTAGAAGAGAGGAGCTGGATAGATGTTGCCGCGGGGACCACGTGCGTTGTTATTTTTCGAAAGAAACGAGATGAAGAGCCTCGCACAGTTTCACGCTTAGATTTATTCCCATTGTATATACACACACAGACGCATCGTATATCATATGATTAATCGAGCTGTACGTTGGAACTGTTTAAATTCGAGCAATTTTTAACTAGACACGTGCCAAGGAAGAGGGGAGAAAAAGGAAGGGGACGTTTTTTTTCTCTACTAGATAAGGAAAACAGGGTCATTAAGCGTAATCCCATTCCGTGCGATCGTTTGGTAAAAAATAAATGTTTCAACGAGTGCGCCGTTGGCCGGTTTCAATCAGCGCCGGTACACTCCCTCTTTCCACGACCATGTCATTTAGCGAGAAGTTTTCTGCTGGAAGGAAAAAAAAAATTGGAAAAAAAAGGGAAAAGCACGCGATCGCTATTTAAAAGGCTCGTAGGTGGGTGGCTTTTTAGCCGAGGTATATACCGACGTAGGGAGAGGGCTTCGACTTCGCTCTTCGGCCTCGGCATGGGGTTGCCGTGCTATTTTCAGGCCGGTGGCTCGATGCAGCTGTCGTGTTCTTCGGGTAAACCACCTCTCTTCTATTCCACGGTCACTCGCGGGACAAGGTAGAACGTACAGATTGGAATTCTAAATTCACGATTCGAGAATTCGTTAACGATGACGCACCTTAGCCAACTCTTACCGAAATTAGACGGTCGTATAAAAGAAACTGCTGGACTATTGTAGGTTTGCTACGTCTTTTTATTTATCTTCTTTTTTTTTTGTTTGTTTTTTGCCTGGAAATCTATTCCCTCTTTCTTTTTTTTTCTCGTCTGCTCTTCTTTCCCTCGACGATTTTTTCCCATTATTTCCTCCCTTCAGATGCTTCTGAAATCCTCCATTTCTCGCAATTAAACCGTTCCACCTTTTAGTATTCTTATTTTTACTTCTTCTTTTGTGCATCTCGTTCCTTTTTTTTTTTTTGCTTTCTCCAGCTTGTTCAATTCTCTCGGTAGTTTTAATGAATTACTTTCGTTAGTAAAATAATTATCAGCAGGATTAATTGTATCAATGGGGAAAGGTCCTTTATTCATTTACGGGGAAACTACGCTTCGCGAAGTTACATTTTCCTGGAATCGTAGAAGACGATGGGATGTAAGAAATGAGAACCATTTAATTGATTGCCTCCAGCAAAGGCACAGGGAGAAGTGCGTGCTGGAGAATGGAAGACGCGGATGAAGAAGATGACAAGATTCGAAGATCTTGGCAACGAGCCAGACGAGATTTTCAGCCGTCTACGTGTACTTCCAACTTTCATCTGTCTCCTCTTCTAGCCACCGTATACGTCCTCTAGGACCTAGGGTGCAATGACACCGGGGTCTTAGATGACAATTTTCTATTTACAGTACGCGTGAGTCATTACATACACGTACCTGTTCTATGCAAATAATTCGCTTGTTATATCTGTATAAGTTTTTGAAACTTGAAAAAGAAAAAACAATTGAACTTCTAGTATCTTACGGGGTACTTCGATTAAACTACGGTGAAACGGTAGGGAATACTTAATGTTGAATTTATTTAACGAAACGCGACAAGTTGACGGATTCACCAGCGACAGTTAGTCGAATGTGAATGGAAAAAATGAAAGAAAAGAGTATCGAAAGGTAAAAAAAATGTCGACCGGAACGACCCTTAATTTAGTTTCGGGTGCAAGAGGTTAACGCAGGGTGGGGACGTCCGTGGAAGTGCTTCCACGAGGGGAGAATACCGTCGTGAGGCACGTTGGTTCATGTTTGGAGGAATGTCTTTGGGTATAAAGGGAGACAGTTCCTTCCGGAGACAGCGAGCAGCCGCCTGTTCCACCCCTCTCGCCCCACCGATTTGTTCCCTTTTTCTATGTTGTTTTTCTTGCGATTCATCGGTACAATTCTTACCACTTGCTTTCTATTAACATTAACAACGGAATATTTTTATTGCAAAATTATTTATTGCAACATTTAGTCCTGACTTTATATTACAAAGTCAGACAACGAAACGAACAGTGTG